GCTGTTATCATACACATTTAGGATTAGAATATCTGGATTAGAATTATCTTGAATTTTTAATGAGCGTTTCACTTGATATTTATAAATTATTTGCCGTCGATAGCCATACTATTGGCCTGACGTCTGGAGGATCTTTACCATTTTTGCTTTCAAAAGACCCTGAATTCGGTTAGTTAAAGCAGTAACAGACTTCTGCAATATTGTTTAATCATTACCGCCACTTGCAATCAACGCCTTATTGGTCACATTATCGACTATTCCAACCACCATTTGTCCATCAGATTCCCCTGAAATCAGCCTAAACATGGCAAAGTCAGTGAACAAAAGAAGTGAGTAAAACTGAACAATTTATTTTAACTTAGCACTTGGTCTTTTCAATTTAAAAGTCGAGCATCAATTGATATTATCCCATGACAATGCTTTTTATACCAAACTTTAAAAATCACAGTCAAACTGTATCATTTGATTTAAATAAATATTATCATTGTTCATCATTCTCTCTTACATTGTTAGCTAACATCAACTTATCGTAAACAAACACCATTTACCTTCTCATCGTTATCAGTTTGATCGATATGCGATATTACACTGTAATAAACAGAGAACGGCACGAAAAAATGTAAAAAATGTAGAGAATATGTGAGAATATTCTTTGTGCATATTCTTGATAAAGCAACAAAATATGCTTTTTATTCTTGAAAATAGTACTATTGACCAGTCTCATTGGATTTTGTAAAAAAATTATCTTTAGCTTTTCTTCACTAAATCTGGTTTGGCGATAAGATAACAACATTTAAAGGACAACAGCCAAATCGGCCCATAATTCAAAATTTGTTCAACCATATATCAATCGAAAGCTTATGATGAGTAGAGTATGTCTTTCTAAAAATCAGATCGAAATTCGCATTCCCTGGGGAGTTATTTAGCAAATCCCTTGGGACCCCGTGAAGACCAAATCGGACACAACTTATCAGATAGAACTTTTTATGTTGATTCTAATGATGGTATGCATGTGACCCCGTACCTGCGGCTTTGCGAGATATACTACTTTCAAAGTTTTTCATAATGCAAAAAAATATTCAATGCCGTGGCGTTTCTTTTAAGCCCTATGAAGACCAACTCAGATATAGTACATATTGTTCACCGCCCTGGATACTATCAGGAAAACTCAAAATAATTCTCCAAATGTGCGGTTTTAGATTTGCCATCTACATCTCAATATTACACTATGTAACTGAATATTCAAAGGTATGGCGTTTCATCAAAACCCTATGAAGACCAACTCAGACCTAGTACATATTGTTCTTTGTTGGGCAAATTAGTTGATGTTGGTGCTGATTTAACCGAATAATTATTTTTGTTGTTTGATTGGTGGGTGTTGATTGAGTTGTTTGATCTGTGTTCAGTGGATGATGAAGACTTATCGGTCAATATTGGAGAGATTAATGCACTGCATGAGGGAAAGATGGAATAATTGTTTTTGTTGGGCGTTGCAAACTTAGGTTGCAGAGCGCTGATGATATGTACTAGTTTGAATAGGAGATCGATTTCTTTATTATTCGGTTTTTCAAGTGAACAGGAAACTAGAGTTAATAAGTTGAGAATTGATTTTTGAGTAATACTTGTTGATTCTAAAAAATAATCAACATCACTGGTTAATATATCATTTATCACTTTAACAATTTTTTCATTTGTTAAGTATTCAACATCATTTGTTGGAATTTCGATTGTTATTTTTCATTTATTGTTAAAGACATACTCTACTCATCATAAGCATTCGATTGATATATGGTTGAGCAAATTTTGAATACGGGCCGAAAATCGCACATTTTGGCTATCCTCCTTTGGGTAAACTCCGCGCTCTTTAGTTTTAAATCAATCAATAATGTATGAAAAGTTAAAAAACACATCTAAAATGGTTTGATATGCTAAAAAATGAAAAAGTATGTATCTAAATGTATGTTGTATGTAATAGAGCCTGGAATATGTTATCAACAAATGAATATGCTTTATCAAGAATATTCCTTGCCGTTGTCTGGTAATAAAGAGACAAAAATAAAAAATATTGCAAAAGATTAGACAGTTTCAATATTAATAAAATGCAATCTGAACTATTTTCAAGCTGCCTTTTTTAGTTTTTTCATTGATATCTTTGAGAGAAAATCATCAGTTAATGAAGAAATCGAAATGATTTTCATTGAAATTCCAATTTTATTAAAAAATTAAGAGATTTCCACAATTTGCTAACAACTGTAGAACTACTTTTTTTCGGTTATTAGGAACTGCATGTAAATTTTATTTTAGCAAATCAAATACAGCTTAAACAGAAAAACTAATGAACATTGAATTTGCTTAAAACTGATGGAAGAACAAGTTATCTCTCTTGAAAAATTCAAGGATGAACAATGATAGTGTTTATTCAAGTCAAATGATACGATTTGTTTGATATGGTGGAAACTCGTGAATTCTGGTATAAAAGCCAATTCTCTGTAATGCCACATGGATCAATTGACTAGTAAAGCATCAAAGTGACTCTTAGATTTTGTTTTTAAAATAAAATAAAAAAGTGAAAACATTTGAAATGAAATTGTGTCCCTCCGTTCTCTTGCTACTTTTGTGCACCGGCATTACACTGTTCTGTCTCGTTACATCAGACTCTGACGTGGGTCAAGCACTCAATGTTATCCCATCTGGGCTCGATCAATCAGATAAACCGGAAAATCCGGTGAAATATGGATGTGAGTTTTATGAAAAAAAGTTTTTGAAGCCACAACAACCTGATAAAAACTCATTATGTAATACAACGAAACTGATAAAATAATACTAATAATTAGAAATACTAAACATTGTGCGAATTCGAAGCCAACTGTAAAAGTAAAAATCATATTTATATTCATTAATAAATAAATATAATGCAATCGATTTTTGCAATTTTTTTCGATTAATTGTGGTTTTCAATATGTAACCTCATTGTAGAGCATTTATTTTTAATATTTAGATCTTCCATTTGTAAATCATTCTCTATTACTTTTTTGAACGCGAAATTGTAGCTATTAATATTATCTTTGCTTTTAGTGAAAATTCTGTCTCACTGTTGACTGGCAGTTATTTAATGTGACATAAAAAAACGAGCAAAGACCGGTTTATAATAAAAAGGTGTTAAAGTTCTTCGTTTTCCTGCCGTGATAGAATTAGGTTCATAAATTGCTATTTCAAACTTTCACATTTACAATTAGAACAATCAGACTAAAACAGTCGAAAAATTTTGAGCATTTAGTGTTTTCAGAACCATTTGCAAGATCAACTTACAAGGGAAGTGAGGGTAGTGGTACGATTAGAATCGTATAAAAAGTGTATGATTCTGTTATTTATGATGGAAATAGTTGGTTACCGTAGAAAATTGAGAACGCAATTGTCCTTTTCTAATTCGAAACGCGATTATTGCTTTTCAAAGTGCATAACGCCATAATGAAAATAATCATAGATTTTAACTTTGCAAAAAATCAAAACTTTACTTCCATGGTAAGCTAAACAGTTTCAACTTACCATTGAGGTAAACTTTACGACACTTGACACAACTGTCCACTCACAATCTGTCCATATCCAGAATGATCTCAGACGATCTAAATCTAACTAAAACTGATAGAAGTCATCTTCTCTCTCACAAGAGAACATTCTAAAGTATGAAATCGAAATGGAGATTATGGAGATCATTCTGGTATCGTATCAAACACACCTTGTGTTTGATACGATACCATGAAACTTGTACGATGGTTAAAATTTCAATTTTTGCATAATTCTTGTTGTACTTGTTCGAAATCTCTTTGAATGAAATTATTTTCCAACCTTTATTTCATTGTTTAATTTGGTTTGAATAAACGTCAACGCTTTTCGCGTGGAAAATTTTTTAGGTGAATTTGCCTGAGTAAATTTCACTTGAAAGAGTCAATCAACTGTTGATGAATGAGTCACATTTCAGGTTGGAATATATGAATCATTGTTTGACAAACAATCATGAACAGTGATAATGTTTATTCGAGTTGAATGATACCAGTTCTGTCGATGTAACGAAAATTCACCAAGTATAAAAGCCAATTATTGTGGATGGCACTATATTAATTGTTCATAAAGTTATCAGAGTGACTCTCAGATTCTGGTTTCAAATGTGAAAAGTAACAACAGTGGAAATGAATTTGTTACAATCTGTTCTCTTGCTTCTTTCGTTTACTGCCACTTCACTGGTTAGTCTTATTAGCGGACAAGACGACGCACAACACATTGCAATGGCTATTAATGGTCTATTAAACGGAGCTTTATGTCAAGAAGACCCGAACAAAACACCAAATCCTCTTCAGTATGGAGCTGGATTTTTCAATGAAGAGACTGGTGGCTTTATATTTCCTCCAGGATATTGTGATCAGTATGTGTTTTCATCTCCAAAACCTACAGAATCCTCCTGATAATTGGAAATACCAAACAAGTCTAAAAATGTAAAGAAAAATGATAATCATATTATTATATTTACTGAAAAATCTATATCCACTTGAATCGTATTAAATAACTTAATATTAAATTAATTATTTTTTAAAACTTTTGCTTACTTTCAATTCTTAAAATTATTCAATTTTTCGAGGATTTATTTTGCATATTTAAAAATCTCAAAAATTGTTCTCTGAGCTGCTTTTCAAATTCCGTATTGTGAATGTTTGGATGGTTGAAACAATAAGAAAAGGCAAGTTAATTTTAGACATTCATCTGTTTTTTTTCAAAACTTAGCCCTTTGAATATTGTACTAAATATGACTAAATAACAATTACCAACTTTACAACACATTTCAAGTCTAAAAAAAGTGATAAAGTGATGTTGCAGTTACAGCAGATGATGACATGAATAACAGTAGTGAAGTTTTAAGACAACAAGTTTTCGGCCGTATAATCAAGGCTTTAGGTGCTTTCATTTCGATTTTGACCTTATTCAGTAAGAGAATTAAATCGACAAAATTATTGGGCTTCTTCAGTTTATTGACATAATGAATATCAGCATTACTCTTATTGACTAGAGTTGCTGTTATCATACACATTTAGGATTAGAATATTATTTGCCTTTTTTACAATATTTTGTTACAATATAAAAATTTAAAATTATCACAGATTCGCTGTAAAAGTCTTATTTTTTTTACATACAATTTGTTTCAATTTAAGTTATTAATTTCTTCTTGTTTTCTTTCTATTCAGATAATTCTATAACTGTCGATGGAATTGGTTCAAGTAGACAAATTAAAATAGTAATCTATAAACCACCATAATCATCATCATTATGGTGAGTTTCCAACTTACAACAATCTTTTTTTTCTGTCACAAGTAAAATAAGGAGAAATGAGATGGATTCAAAATTATATCAAAGCGTCCCTTGTAATCTAACCATCGAATCTCAATGGATTTTGATTAGATTTTCAGCAAATATAAAAAGAGGTTTCGATTGTATTTTCATTTAAATCGGGACATTTTAACTGGTACACATCTGAATGATTATCTTGAATCTTTGACGAAAGTCTCACTTGAGATTTATAAATTATTTCACTGGATGGATTCCAATTCCAATTGATTATCATTGATTTCATCTACTCCATTGCCCTTTCCAGGTTCAAATTAAACCTTGTTTGGTCGATTAGTGAAGTAAATGTTGCTCGGGTCATCAGCAAGCTGTGGATATTTATTGATTGGATGATAATATTCCCCTCTGTAACCAGCCACTGAACCAGTACTCAAAAGTAACTCCTTTTCTGTGTCGTTCCAGGAATGATGAAGTGGAGAAACTGAATCACCTTCAATCAATCTATTGTTCCTTGTTAAATCAGCTTCCTTGGACCATCTTTCATTGACGGCGTGTTTCTTAGCATGTCTTAAAACACGATTTCGTTCCCTTTCAACTGTAGTTCCATAACGGATATTAAGTATCGCTCCTTTTACATGGATTCTTATATCAGCCTGGAAATTGAGAAACAAGAAAAATTAATGTTTGAACTTGGTTTTGTTGATAATAAGAATCAATTTACCTGATGATTTTTGTGACCAGCCTTTGAATCACCATCATGATCTTTAATCGAGTCATTTGTAGTTACATTTATTGAATTGCCCAAGCGTTGAAGCTGAATTTGATCTTCTCGTGCTTTCCAGAGATTAGGCTTTACAAAATAGAATGCATCTGAACCTTTGAATATCAGATGAATGTCCAATAAATGTGAGTTGTTGAAAACTTTGGTGAAAACATCACGACGAATGGGGTCAGCATCAGGAGAAGACATTATCATTACTTTTCCATCAATAGAGGACAGAGTTATTCCATAACCAAATGGTCGACTTTCAGTAGCAATTTTTGTTATCCGACTATTTTCCAGTAACTCCTCTGATTTAACCTGATTATGGATAAACAAAGAAAAAAGAGTTTAATTATAACATGTAATATGAATGGACCTTAAATTTTGGTTCAGCTCAATATCATTTGAAATATATTATCAATGTATAGAATGATAATCAAAAAGTAATTAAGTAATATCTCCAGTAGAGAAGCTATATTTATCGCTAAGATATATGTTTTCTCGAATGTAATCCTAAGTTTTCTTTCAGCTAAAATATTACATATTCCAAGAGATTTTCTCAGATCCTTGGAGTTTTCGTAATGTATCGTATTTCATCTAATAAGTTATCAACAGAAATGTGGAAACATTCCATATAATGAACACATTATGATTATTTCTTGGTGCAACATAATCAAAATATAATTAAATGAAATTACTTTTGCTGAGACAAATATATAAAAAATATCTTCCAAGATAGGTTGTTATTTGAGTATGTAAAATGGAAAAAGAAAGTTGCTGATCCAAAAAAATTAATGTACGCTTAGAAATAAATCTTGTTTTGTTCCTAAAAATAATTTCATTTCAAACTGAACTTTTTTCTCTTTTTTAAAGTGATTTTTCAGCTGAATCTTGGATGTTGAGATTTGAATTTAACTGATGACTGATAGAAAATACAAAGTAAATACTATGTAATTAAACAATACAGAAAAGGTGAGTGACGTTTTTGAAAATATATGATTCATAATGTCAGTCTTTCTCTATTTCCCTAAACAAAGTATGAAAGTATTTGATAAATTGGAAAAGGATTGAAATAAAAGATTAGCCTTAGGGAACTTGATAGAAGCAGATTCAGGCTGAAACTTCATTTCGATTTCTTCATCCTTCTCCATTCACTTCTTGCAGGTTCTACTGAAGCCGAACATTTGCTAATCAAATTGTTTACCAATTTTGTTTACCTCTTTTTACAGCTTCTAGCTAATCTAATTCTTATTCTAAAACCGTTTTAACCATGTTATATTCAAAAGTTATCTCGAAGGGCATAAAATTTTCCAGGTTAACAGCAAATTAATGCCTAAGAAATTTTTTCAATTCTACACTTGACTGTCTCTTGCTTCAAGTAATATTGTTAAATAGTAATTGCACCATAGTAATTTAGTGTTTAATTAACTGGAATAAGCTACGAGATTCATTCATTGGAAATCTAATTATCTTACCTTAGATCGACGAATGAATGAAGAGACAGCAAAATTGCGAGTATTTCGCTGTACTGCACACCAAAAGGCTGAAAGAATGGGCATTGTTGGTAAAACTAGTGATGAGACAATAACACTGGGTATATGAACGAAAGCATCAAAGGTGTTATAGTGAAGGTAAGGTGAAGTCGCTGCGGTTGGTGAAGGAACAGCACTTTCTCCAGTTGAGTATGAGCCATAAGCAGAAGAAAGTGAACCTAAGGCAAGTGTCGATCTGATTGTCGAACCTTGGTTACCCTGGAAAGCTAATGATGAGCCTCGATTAATTAGCCTTTGACCACCGATATCAAAGCCAGTCAAATCTATTCCTTGATGTTGAATCCAACGGTTAAGGTTTAACTTGGTTGATCGTCCCTCAGCCATACCAGGTTCAGGATTAACAGGATCATTTTGTGAGAAACGGTACAAGTTGAGAGCCAATGGATTTTTTAAATTGGACAAAACTCCAGACCAATGAGGTGTTAGCCATTGACCAATTAATGAATCATAAATGTAATGACCATGGAAATGAAGTATACCAGTGACCGGATCAGAGAGTCCACCATGGAAACCAATTGGAAGGTAAAAGGTTGGATTGGAATCAAACAAAACATGGCCATAAGGACCGCGATGAATCTCTTTGATCACGTCTCCACGATGATCGAAGACTAGTAAAGGAGAACCAACTTGATCACAGGTAATGTAGAATGTTTGGTGATTGATTTGAACCGATAAAGGCATTCCTGTGTCATCATAAATCATTGAAGTTATAGTTCCATCTGCATTGTTGAACATATGGGTAACCAAGTAGGGTCGCTCTATGTCACCATAAAAGTATTGAGTAAGATTACCAAAATTGTCCTTTCGAATAGTTAATCGGCCTCTTGGATCATATAAATATCTTATATCATAGCGTCCAGGTCGATAAGCTCGTAGCAACAGTCCTGCTGTATTGTAAATGAGACGTTCTTCTCCCTTGGTAATGAAATAACCTCGACCATCTGTGGTATATGGAGTGTCACCAAATCTAACGACTCGATCACCAGCATCATAAGCAATGTCGATCCTATTTCCCATATACTGAAGTGTCACTAAGTTACCATTGTCATCGTATGTAAACTTCCATTGATCTCGACCAGAAACCTCAATCAGCTGTTCATCATAATCATATGTATAGTTGGATACACGAACCTTTGAGGCTCCCAAATGACGCATAAATGTTTTCGTTGTAATTATGGCACCATTAGGATTGTACAATAAGTCCATTCGGTAAACCTCTTTTTCTTTAACGGTAAGAGACAACTGTCGAAGCTGGTGAGTTGAAGAATCGTAAATTTTGGAAAAAGTAGCCACTCCATCAGTAACAAGAGACTCGTTTTGGTGATGTTGATAGTCATGGTGATCATGAACTCGAAAATGTCCAATTACTTCAAGTCTACCAGTTCGTGGATTGTAAAGAGTTTCATGTGCCGGCAATGAAACTGAAGGTGAAGCTGATGAAGATATGATACGAGCTCCAATTGATTTTTTCCGACCAAATTCATCATACTCATATGTATACTCAAAGTTGGACAAGTGCGAGTAAACTGAAGTCACTCGTAATGATATTCTGGTAATCAATGAGTTTACATAACCATATTGCAGTGTAACCTCATTAGAACCCTCAGACCAAGTTTCACTAGTCAGTAAGCCATCACCAGAAGAAGTGGAAGATCCTTCAGTTGAAGAAGCAGCACGATGTGGATTTTGCTTGGAGGATGACGATGGTTTCCATGAACTGGCATAAGTTTTAGTTACTTTACCTCCACCATAAACAATTTCACTCAACTTGGATCTTTCATTGTAAATGTAAACTACTCTGGATGAATCATCAGGAGATATTTCCATCAACGGTTTCAAGTTGTCATCAAAATAAAGTGTGTAAGCAGAGTTACGAGAATAGCCTGGTGGGAAATATTGTAACTTGTAAAATCCAAGTGAAATAATTAAATTTGTTCGATGTTCGTTTCTTCTTGGTGTTACAATGCGTTTAAGTCCACTTCTTTCATCATAATGATAGTGATATTGTTTACCACTTCTCAAAGTTACCCGGACAGGTTGTGATCGACCAGAATCATCATAGCCATACTTGGTTGAGGTTGAGTCAGGATATCGAACCTCGGAAAGAAGACCGTTACGATCATAAAGGAAAGTTTCCGATACCAAAGAGCCTTGTTGCCAACCTGCTAGACGCCCGTACCTGTCATAGATGACATTCAATGGAAGTCGAGTCTCGGTGGGTAACCATTGTATAGGACGAGAAGAGTTGTCATATTGAACAACAAGGAAAGGACGACGTGAATTATTGTACAATATTTCTCGATTGGCATTTCTATCATATTCTAGTGATAGATAACGAGTTTCATTGATGTAAAGAACACGTTCAACAGCCAAAATGTTTGATCCTAAAATCACGCCCGAACCAGGTCCATTCATAGCAGCTGAGCTTGCTGCTTGTGTTGAAGCACCAGCAGAAGTGGCTGTTGAGCCAACGGATGAAGCAGATGGATAAGCTAATCCAGGCATACCGTTTGATCCATTTCGACCTGTGCCTTTGACATTGAAATCCCAGCTAATTGAGGCAAGACTCGATGGTATTATGCTGGACGGGAAAAGATCAAATGGTGATGTTGACTGTGGTGATGAAGGAGAAGGTGATCTAAGAGCAAAATTGACCTGTCGATTCAAAACAGGAAACATTCCTGCTTGAACTGGTACTGTTTGAAGCAAAACCTTGTGTGGTGAGGCTTCCCAAAATATACCCTGACGCCAAGGGGTAATCAATGCAATTGATTTATCCTCATGTAAGGTTACTTTAAACTGATTTCCTGAATGTAATACCAAAGCAGAGTCACCAATAATTTGAACAATAAGATTGTCTCGAACCGACCGACTAGTTGAATCTAGGTTTAGTGGACTGGTTCGTGCCTTTAAATAGGAACCATCGTGGTTAAAGTCAAACGAGATGGATGTTAATGATCCAGAAGGCTTAACTAGACCATTGAGACGTCCAGAAGATGAATATTGGTAAAAATAACAGTAACCAGCTGAATCAGACCGGGAAACCAACAGACCAGTAGCCGAGTCATAAGTAAATCTCAACGTTAAATTATCAGGGTCATTGAATGTCTCTAAAAGTCCTTGATTATTGACAGTGATGCGACACTTTTGTCCAATCGCAGTCTCAATAGAGTGTAAACTATTAATGGAGTCTCTTAAAAAGGAAACCTTGGAACCAGACGAATCAGTGACAGCAGTCAATTTACCAAAAGAAGTGTTTACATCGTACAAAAAGGTATGTAAAGATTGTCCTGTTAAAGCATTACGAGTGCTAATATGTTGTCCGTATTTATTAAAAATGTAAATTTCATTAGTTTCAGGTGAAGCAATGGTAAACTGAAGAGACTCATCTGGACCAGGAATATAGGGAATAGCCGAGATAATCTGATATGTTCCTTCATCAGCAACATGGACAACACCATCACTTGTAATGGTAATGGCCGTTATAGAAACCAAAGGAGTATCACGAGCAAGAGCAATTCGAGGCTAGAAAAGGAAGGAGAAAGTAAAAAAGATGGCTCATTACAATTAACATCAATTATTGGATAAATTGACCAGTGAGAAATGATAATCAACTCAAGTTGTGTTACTAAAAGCTTTCATGTTTAACCATTTCAAGAGTCATCTGCGTATAAAGAGACATTCCCTTATTGGCAACATCTCAATCATCGATTGGTTTCCAGTTAACCTAAAGGTCAACCTAAACAACAACAAACACGCCAACCAGAATCTTCATCAATTGCTACAATCTAGTTCAATTGTTACCTTGTTTCTCATCCATTCATCATTTCAAAGAGTTTACCAAAAGGAGCACAAAAAAAGCTCAAACCCAAATATTGATCTGTTTTTTTCTTGCCTCACACTCGACTCACTCTCTTTCTTGCAACCAATAATACTACATGGAAAGAAACTCTGGTTTTCTCTACAAAATTCATCACAAACACAACATTGAACAGATTTTTCATTCTCCATTCTTTGTTATACATTTTTACTTCAATAACAAAGAAAAAAACAAGACAAGACAAGGAATCGATCATTGAACAATCATGTCAACCATGATTATTAAAAAACAAACCAGTGACATTAAACCAACAGCCCAGATCAACACAGTGAAAGCAACTTCAATTAATCTTTCTATTCCTCAATCAACCAAATCACAATCAACCTGGTCCAATCAATTGTTTAAACACAAAGAAAGCAAATCAACTCGTTTCATTGTAACAATATTACAAACATTGAGACATCAACAAAAGCCGAGCAAAGAAGGAAAAAAATGAAAACATATTTTTTACCATTCTAATAATAATAAGTTTGCGTGAAGCAAACCAATAAATAGTAACAATCAAATGAATGTTAATCGTCAATTTAACTTTTCCCTGGTTAAACTGGTTGCTTAGCAGATTTGTGATCCTGTCATACAAGTCACATTATTTATTCAATTGTAATGGTCAATTCGATTTTTGGCGAAAATAAAATTCAAATCTTTACCAATAGATCTGATTAGCTATTAATTGACTGAAGTATGTGAAATTTGCAAAATTGTGATGAAATGGAAGCAAAAAATGCTCGACTTTTTTCCTTTTATTGATTTTTCTCATTCAAGAACATTAATTTACTTTTTTCATTTAAGTTTCTTCACCCAGTTTCAATCAAATTAAATACTAAATGAGTTTTCATGAGTAAACCAGAATAGATAAAAAAAGAAGAAGAAGAAGGAAAGAACACACAAAATTGAAAGTTTGTGAAACTTGGGTTGAGGAAATATTAAAAGAAGAATCTCATGAAATAAGAAGTTCTATTAGATAATCTTATTACTCAAGGGAATTTTCTTGTTCAGGGAAGGAAAAGATTGTGGCTACATTTTATCGAGTTGATTCCTTATTTCACTTCAATGCCTTAACCTAATGCAATATTGTTTCCAACCAAGATAACAACAAGTTATTGTTGGTACATTTTACAAGGTGGCTTAACTCAGATAAATTTCAATTAAATGAATCAAAATGGATGAATTTCTCAAAGAAAAAAGAACCCAATTTCATTTCAAATTTCAATTTACACCCAAAAAACGAGTTTCAACAAGAAAGCTGAACACTTTCGTTAAATAAAATGAACATCAACACTTATGAAAATGATGGCAAAACCGGTAAACACATAAAAAGATTGTTCCCAAGAAAATTTTTCAACTAAAAATGATCTGAATATGCTGTTTATCAAATGCTGGTTTTTATTCAGATTTGTAATATTTTGGAGTTTCTTCAATTCTGAGTTTATGTTTGAGTAATCTTTTGTACTTTCAATGTTAGCTAATAAATTAAATCTTTTTGTTTTGAATCCAATTTCGATAGACTTGCCTTTGATTTGGCATTCGGTGACGAATAGTCTCTATGCAGGATTTATCTCAAGTCAAGGTTTAAACATGAGGTTCGTATAAAGATTGAAATCCTTTAAATAGCGTTCAATTTGGTAAATCAATTTTCGAAAACTTGAAGACTCCAAAAAACTAATCACAATAAAATTTAGTCGATTTCAGTAATTGACAAAAACTTATTGTTGTAAAATAAGCTCAAAGCCATCTTACAATGGTTCAACAGAAATTTTCAATTTTAAATTTAAAGACTTTCATGAAATTGTGCCATTTCACGATTGAATTGCCATTGAAAAATGATTCAATGAAACACAATTGGATATTGGTTAATTTGTTCAATTTTCTTCTTATTCACTTTTTCCAAATAACAACTGAATTTGTCCTTTTTTATATTAAATAAAAATGTGTCTTTCAACCTTTTCCTTTGACTGGTTAAACCAAATCTCATTGGTAACATCATTTGTAATAATATTACTCTAAATGAAATAGTTGAGTTGAAAGGGATAATGATAATGATAAAGATAAAAGCATGAAAAGTTGTTTACGCTTTATTCACCTTCAATATGTTATTACTTTTCTTTCAATAGTTATTCTTATTGAACAGAGACTCTCACCCTGCACCATGATCAACTTGTGTCAATTAAGTTACTTCACCCAAATCACTGGGATTGATGGTTTATCTGTCATTAACTTTTCTTGTTATCTTAATAAAAATATTTCTGTTTCTTCTTCTCCTTCAATCTCTATGTTAACCTCCCAGATAATAGCAGCAGTAATAATCATGATACAGTAAACTTGTACAATTTCAATCTGGATATGTATTTATTCTGGTTAAGTGGAAAGGAAATGATGAAAGAAAAGGGAATCAGGAAGAAAAATCAGCGAAAATGAAAGGCGAAGAAAAAACAGGTTCAAATGAATTTCCTTTTCAAATCACTTTTCTTTCATTCCATATCATGATGGAAAGGATAAGAAAAGTTTGGATAAAGAAGAAGCAAAAGAAGATGAAGGAAAGAAGAAGGAAACAAAAATAATCTTCAATTGTATCTTTTACCTTGTTTTTAGCATCTCTCAATATCTCATCAATTTATCTGCACACACAACAAATACAATTCTATTAGTTTTCCTGCTAATGATAATATTATCCTCAAATGAAAATCTGTATTCTCATGTAATTCAACGGTAAACAAGCAACAGACTGTTGTAATTGCATTCTGTTAACATTTTCCTTCTCACCATAATCAACATTCAATTCATTGGATTCCATTGAAATCAATCAATGTTGACTTTCAAATTCAAATTCCAACAACATCAAGAAAATATCAATTGAATCTCAATCCAACATCAACCTTCACGAGACATTAAAAGAAGCTAAAAAAAGCTTAAAAACCTTATTCTCAATAAAATTTGTAAGAAACGAAAATCAAAATTAACGAAAAAATCACAACTTAACATTTCCATTTCAATACAATTTCTTGATCAAACAACTCAAACCAGACTCAACGATTGATATCATTAGTCAATTGACAGCAAACTATTACAATGAATCAATTCGAAGCAATCAAGTGGTTTAATTAATGATGGAAAAAAGCTATTAAATCTAAATTTCCATTTGGCCATAATTATGTTTGATAAAACTGGCTAATGATTAAAGTGGCTTTAAATAAACGCCATTATGTAAATTAAAAGCAAACGACACTAATTATCAGAGTTGCAATAAACAGGATCAAATTATCATTATTGTTAACCATTATTGTTGTAAATCAAACTCAATCAATATCGAAGTTGTTTGAAGAGTGAAAGTAGAAAAGTTAATATCATGATTACCATGTAACCAATAACTCGAAATTGTTCAACATTTTTCAACCTTTTCCTAATCATTTAATATTTAATACCTTTTTTCAACCTTTCCTTTCTTGACTCTCATCGACCCAAATGTTAGCTAAAGCTTACTTCATGAAAACTCGGAATCTCATGTGACACATCATTAGTGAAAATAAACTTCAATCCCTCATCATTATGATATCATTTTTTTCTCCCTTTTCCTTGATAAGCAACTTATCTCTTTCAATTTACTCATGAAACATGATCAATGATGAAACTTTTTTTTCTCTTCGCCCAATAACATTATTCTAGTTATCATTGACAATTGCCATTTAATTGTTGCATTTTGTTTCTCTTTTTTTTCGCACATTTTCATATTTTTTGTCTCTTCTCAATCAATAGCATTTATCGAAATTTATTGATTGATTGCCGCTGTAGAAGTTCATTATTCAACCTTTCGATTATTCACATTCAGTTGAAACTCTTTTTCACTCCCAGTGAGAACTCTAGTTTTTACCCTTTACCTTTCATTTTTCACTGAATTTTCTTTTCTCTTTCATTCAAATGAAATACATTTTTCATTCCTTCAAAGATAATCTTTTCAGAATATTTCTCAGCTGCTTTATGGATGGTTATAAATCAACATTTCATGATAATTAATGTTGCTGTTGAACCAAGATTATCTTTCATTTTGACCAAGAATCACAAAATCCATTGGGATTTATCATATCAAGTGCATGATTTGTGAGCAAGTTTACAAAGGATTGAACCATTGAATAAATCATTCTCATGAAAAAGATCTTTTTCTCATTTTCTCGAACTTCTTTTACTTGATCGTGTTAAACTTGTGTGAAAGGTGAAAGTTGCCAAAAAGTTCATTTCATTCGTTTGTCTTGAAGAAATGGTTAAACTTGAACTTTGCTTTTTGCTAGATATAAATTAAGTTGTAAAGCATTTTTGTTCATTTCACTCGTCACTGTGAAAACAAGTTAATTTGATTAACTTTTTTTTTCTCTCTACAATTGTTCTTACCTGAGATGATGAAGTGTGAGTTGTTGACTGAGAACTGGTTGAAAGTGAAGCTGGTATTGCACAGGTACAGTTGTGAGCTGCAAGGTCTTTGCAGGTTTCAATTTCACAGAAAGTTGATCCACTTGAATGAGTTAAATCAAGTAAACCCGAAAAGGCAAAGTTTCTCGTTGACTTGTCAAGACCCATAAAGTGAACATAATCACCATTCTTGTTGATTAAATTTACCGTATTTGACCCATCCTTACCAATGGAGGCAACAAAAAGGTCACCCGTTGAACTAAAGCTAAAGGTTAAAATGACACTGTCTCCGGTTGAAGCGGTTGAAGAGGCTGGAAAAGGTTTATCACAATAGGAAGGACTTCCAACAACAACCAAAACTCTTCGATCAGGAGTTAACCGGAAAACCATTTGATCATCAAGAAAATAGAGTGACCCATCAATTGGATGGATGGCAATTTCAGTGGGCCAACGAAGTTTAACCTCATCAGCCGGTAAACTGCCACCACACGGAATGGGTTTCCATTGGCGTTTACGGTGATAATGATTGTCACCAATGATTGTGGAAATGATTCCCTTCCAATTGACGACTCGTATAACCGAACCATCAGCAAAGTAAAGACTGCCATCCAACCCAAAAGCCATTCCCTTTGGGAAGACAAGGGAAGCCTCAAGAGCCGAGCCACCGTCACCACAGTTGCTTGTATCACGAGGTAAACACCGAGAACCAGATCCAACAAAAACATCATAATTTGACTCTGGATCATCGACTCGGTCAACCGTGTGAACACGAAGAATCTGGTGTCGCTCCGGATCGGAAATGTACAAATGACCATCGTACGAGGAAAGGTGAATGTGATAGTTGTAAGTTGTCGGATTGTTGCTCATTGAGCCCCTCAAGTTTGCCCCCTTGTCGGAATGCTTAAAGATGGTGTAAACATAACCGTCTGGCTTGATTCGTCTAACCAGATTGGCATCACCCACATAGACTGATCCATCGGGTCCCGAGGTTAGCGTTATGGGAGACAAGAGTTTGTTTGTCTTTGCCTGGCCCTCACAGTCTCTTGCTTTGCACACCAATGGTCGGGAATCACCTCGAGTTCCAATCAGTGTTGATGCTACTCGAGTTTGCTGTTTGAAAAATATTGCCGAACCATCGCCCTTTTGCAACACTCCTTCATGGTAGTTGTACCTGTGGTGAATGTCTAGATTCCAAGAGGCCAGTTCAGATATTTCCATGTCGAAACCTCGAATTGATGTTGTCAAAGTGCTCCAAATTACTTGTGAACAAGATTCATATTGATAGCCAACGTAAACTGTGCAATGAGAGAAAAAAAAGAAATGAGTTTCAATTTGGAATTGAATACTTTTATTTGACAATTTTAATCAACTTTTCATATTATTTTACCAACGATAATGAGCAACTTGTAATTATCGCATTCTAATTAAGTAATTAAAATGTAGAAAGAAGTTTTGCTTTTATCTTAATCAAATGTAAATACTTTCACCATTTCATGAAAAGCTTAATGGATAATTATCAATCAACTCATTACCAACATAATGAAGTAAAAATTAATTAAAAAATTTTCTTCCATCAACGCCTAAATCATTAGGAAAAGTTGCTCATCAAGTTCATTTCATGCAATCCAAACCGAAACTACTCAAAGGCAAAAAATTTGACAAACTCATTGCTCTAAATCAAGGAACGAAAAAGTCGAAAAAATAAAAAATTCTTGTTCGTTATCACAATCATTTTTTTCCATTGAAATTATTCCTTGAAATGAATACTTGTGTCCATTTCTTCTCTTGAGATTTTCTTTTTTCTCTCATGAAAGTTCCATGAAAACGAATCTAGAAAAAAGTTCAATTCCAATTGATTTTTCATTCAGATGAGGGTCATTTTTTACTCAAACTTTTTCACCTCTAACTGTTGGGTCAGAGTGATAAAGTTTTTCTTTCGAAATTTTTGCAAAATTCTTTTGAAATGAAGAGAAAGAGAGAGGAAAAAACATTAGAATAATCATGATAAAGAATTGAACATAAAGGGAAAACTCGAAAATTCACAAATGTCCTTTCAAGGGAAGAAGAAAAAAAACTTTTATCCTAATCATTTACTATCTTTTTGGATGGAAATGTTTGCTTCATTTCATTCAGATAATGTTTCCTTTTCAATTCACCTTCTAGTCTTGCAATTTTTTATTCTTGCCTTTTCTCTTTACGATCTCAAAGTTGCCCATTTTTCCAGAATCTTTCATTTCATTGAGGACAAACTTGAACAACATGATCAAGACGAGAAGGCAAAAAAGGGAAACAAATGAGAAGCAATAAAGAGGACAAAAAATGTCGACTTTTGTAATGAAGACAAGAGTAAAAAAAGTTATCACTGTTATTGTGATAATAATGATGGCAATAATAATAAACGACAATTGAAAAGGGTGAAAAGCGAATCAAAAGCATCATGATCATGGTGAAGGAAACAGCATTGAACTTGCAAAGAAAACATGAAATGACAATCTCGATCCACAGCATGTTGCGCCTTCAAGCCAACAGCATGGAAAAGGAATTATAAAAAATGACATTTGAGCAACTTTCATTATCGATTGTAATGAGAAAATTTTTTCTTTGCTTTTCGATTTTGATTTTGTCTTTTTTTGACAAAATTTTTGTGGCTGCTTCAAGTTGATCAATTAAAAGTGTTTAATGAACTTGTTTTACCTCTTGCTGTTGTTAGACCGTAAACCTTTTGTCTGTAAACGTTTCGCTTGTTCCATGAAAAGGTGTATTTAATTGAAGATTCAGCATCAAATAGACGAGAGAAAAGGTTTCCTTCCAAAACAATACGTAAATGAACAACTTTAAGGCTTCGAGGTATTGAGTCTGGAGTTAATTGCAAGTTTATTGTTGCCAAATAGCCGGGACTGGAAGATGATTGGTAAACTAGTTTCAATGTTGACCCAGGAATGGATAGGGTTTCAAGTAAAACTTGAGATTCGGCGATAACAGCTGAAGATTCGGTGCAGCCACCTTCAGCGTCTGGTTTAAGGGTTTGAAAGAGTATTGGTTTCATTAGATTGTAATTGTGATCCCAGCATTGAAGAGACTTGGTTTGATTGCCAGTTGATGCCAATGTTTCTGTCAACTCAAAAGAGGAACCAAATGAGGTTAAATCGGTTAGTGAAGGATCCGTTGAATAGGAATCTTCTGAATTGGCAGACATGACAATTGAATTTTGAATGACAATAATCTCATTCCAGGGAACCATGATTGTTCGTTTGATTGGATGGAATGGGCTTCGTTGGAATTGAAGTGTTACCATGTTGCCACCATTGACTAGAATATCAAACCTATTCAATGAAAAGGAAAGAAAAGGGAAAAAAGAGGAAAATTGATAAACATCAAGAGCATACCAAATGAGTGAAATTTAAACACGATTTGAATGAATAAGGAAAGAGGAAAAAAATATTGTCGAAACCAAATTCAATTCAATTCAACGAAATTGGCAAAATATTTGCTTTCTATTTGTTTTCATTTTCTTAACCAATTCATCACAACATCATTGGAAACGAATAAAGATGAAAACAAATTTCAATTTCTTTTCAATCTCAAGTCTAAATGAACAAACAAATGTTCATTGACTCAACTTTCATGTAAAAAGTAATTATAATCGAGCATCAGACTTAAAATATTCAACGATCATCAACTTGAAATAGATTTCGAAAGTTCCACGATTTAATGAAAGAAAAAGATTCGTTTAAATCTCGGTAAAACTGAATAACCCAATTTATTTCAAGCGAAACTCCAAAAAATTTCTAAAACTAAATTCTGAGAAAATTTCGAATCGAAAATTCAATTCATCCAAAAATCTATTTCAATTTGTATTCATTATCTAACCAGACTCATTACGGCATCATGGAAATGAATGAAAGACCAAAATTCGAATTTCGTTCAACTTGTCAATTCGAATGAGAATCGGTTCGTTGATTTACTGAACTTTTAAAATAATAATTTGAACTCGAAATTTGAAGGAAATTATTGATCGATTTTCGGGTGAAATTGAATTTCGAAAATTTTATGTTTGAATGAAAGAACAAAAAATTTTGGCAAAACTGAATAATCCAATTTAACTTGAAATTCGAAAGAGAAGAAATTGAAATTTCGAACAATTTTTCAAACTTTTAGAAGAGAGTTTGAAGAAAATTTTGAACTCGAAATGTTTGGATTATGCTTTGATTGTAAATGAGGTTCATTTTTATAAATGGTCTGTCTTATTGTAATACTTGGAATAAACATGAAAAATGAATCTTGTTTATCTTGGTTGCAAATTTTCTTGACTCTCTGGATACTTTTCAATTCTCTTTTCATGGTTACTATAATGACCTGAATAAAGTGGCATGATAAATTTAGAATAAGAAATGAAAAAAAGAAATGTTTTTCTCGCAAATTGATAATGATAATGAGTGACCATCATCATTGATATGGTCTGTTTAACCGCATAAACGGAGTCAAGGATAATAACAAAAATGATAATGTTGATGGTTAAGAGGGCGAAGAAAACAAAGATTATCGTTAACATGATTTAGAAGATTCAAGTAATAACGAGAAGAATAAAATGCTCTTAAGATAAACAATTCAAGTGAAATTTTTCCTCATAACCTTCATAATCATTCCAATCATCATTACGAACAAAATGAATCGACTAATCTTAAACAATGAAAAGAGATTCAACAAAAGGTGTTCATTATCTTGTTGATGGAATGCTTAAACACATGTTTATCTTTCATGAAAATTTCGCCACATTTTTTTCTTCCAACAAACGAATAAAGTTTTTCGTTTTTGACGCAATCAATCAATGAAATGGTTTCAAGTTTACTCGAGTTTCATTTCTCGAGTTACTTTGGTCAGTTGAGAAACTTCAACTGAAGAAATTCAAAGTTCAAGTTGAAGAGTAAAGACAAGAAACTTTTCCTGAAACGTCAAATTTGATGGTCCAAACTGGTCATCAATGGAATGGTTGATGAGAAAAAAGTTTTAGGTCAACTTACCATCCATCAGGTCGTGTCAAAGTGAACCCAAACTGTGGATCAGTTGCCACCGAGATTCTTATCCCTGTAAGTCCATTGCCATCAGGAGTAATTACTTGTCCTCTGATTACTGAAACTCGACTATCGGATAATGAAAAGAAAAAGAAAAGATTAAAAGTTAATTTTGTTTTTCCAACAATCATTTGGTTCTTCAAAGTTCAACATTGATTATTAACTCTATTATTAACATTAAGGTAAAGGTGAAGATGCAAAGGTAAAGGGAAGAAGAAAATTTTTTATTTACATTCTTCAAATGCTCAGAGGATTGAATGAACTTAAGAGTGCAAAAAAACGAACAAAAAGGCAAATAAAATTTTAAATCAACTTTTATTCTTACTTAGCATGGATAAATCAGTCAATGAATAGATTTGTTTTTTTGGAATATTTACGAACTTTTGGCTTTTCGTTGAATAGTTTCAACAAAAAAAAGGTTTTCATTGCAAAGTTTCAAAGGTTATCGATTGGGAAGAAGCAAAAAATCATGCAACATGAAAGAAAAGGGAATGGATTCAAGTCGGAAAAATGGATATTCATTTCATGGTGTTTTCGGTGAGTTTCGGAATGAATGAGATTATTAAATTTCTAATGATAAACGGAAAGGGTTATAGTTGGTTAAACAAAAAAGGTTAATGGTTCAATGAGTTTCAAGATGAGAATGATGATTATGTTGATGATGATCAAGATGTCCATTAAGATGTTTGTGATAATTAAAATGATGAAATGAAGAAAAGAAAATTTCCTTGTCGTTTTTGGACATTTGGTTGAATCGAAAAGTTGCTGTTGGATCAAATTGGGATCAATCTTAAATTTCCAATGTTCATCATCGAATGTAAAATTCAAATCATTTGAATCGAACAGCTTTTCTTGTACTTTTCAGGCAAAGATTAGAAAAGATAATGATGCTGAAGAATTGAATAGAAAAGATTAGAATGAGAAATCGATTTGATAATTGCTTCCTTTGATGGTAATTTTAATGAACCAGAATCGCAGATTTTGCATTCTTCATGATTAACCCAACCCGATTAATCAACAATCATTAACATTGGAATCGTTCTTTTCTTCCCTTTTCCCTGGGAGTGTTTTCTCTATCTTGATAATTATCGTTACAATATTAGTTTTTTTGGCAAATTTTTTCCTCTTTTTACTTTTAATTGACTTTTCGTATCTTAAACTAAATGGATAAAATAATATTGTTCAAACAAGATTAAAATAATCGTTATTAATGAAGATTATCATTGTTATTGGAAAATGAGAAAACTGTAATAAGCATAAAATAACAATAATATTAATTGAAACTAAATGAGTTTCAAAGTAAATACTTGATTGAACCCAAAAAAGCTAAATGAATATCATTAATATTGGAAGGTAAAGGAAACGAGAAAAAAAAGGTGAAACCATTTTCTTTCACTTTTTACCTTTTCTTGTGATTCTCTCAAAACTATTATCTGTAATCCTATTGATATCTTTACTTTTTATCATTATCTTTAGAAACCTTAATCTCTTTGCTGAACTTGTTTTCACCAATCAGAGTTTATCAATTGGAATGGAATCAAAGTCAAATGATAAACTGGATAAAGCTAATGATCAGATAAAGGCAGAAGATATTAAATGGAATACAATTTAAACTCGAATAATTTTTATCAACAAAATTCTGTTTCCAGATAACTTAATGATTTGTAAAAGTTGAAGTTTTTTCCTGAAAATAGATTTTCTTTTTCGTTGAATATTGGAAGCTATTGATGCTAATTCAGAATAGTTTGGAAAAGGAAAATTTTTATTCGAAAAGAAATGAAATTAGAAAAGGAATTAGAAGAGTTTATGTTGCTCATTGAATGTTATTTGAATATTGAGTGAGTTTTGGTGAACGAACAAGATGAACTTCTATTAACATATAAGTTCTTTTGAGGCGAAATTGAGGTTTTTTTGGTTTTCCTTTCGGTTGATTGTGTTCTTTGAGTGAAATAATTGAACTCATTATTAATGATAATTGCAATGATTATGGTGTTGGGTTCAAATTAATTGACCATTAATAGGAATCTGAATGAAACTCATCAATGACTTTTGCATAATTGATGCATTTCAACGCTAATTATTGTTCCAATTCAACTGAGAATTCATCGTTTGATTGAATAACGACTCGTGAAACTTGAAACTTTTATCGTTTTTATACTTCAATTGGAATGGCAATTATAGCATAAATGGAATGGTTTCACTTGCCACATTCTCATGTAACAATGTATTAAGAGTTTCATGATGAAGAAGGAAAAAAAATCATTATTCATTATCTGAGAAACGCAAGATGAAAGTCTCAGATGGAAATAATTAGAATGAAATTGAACCATCAACCAGATGGAATGTGATGAAATGTGGATAAAAATTGGTCTGTAAATGTATTTAAGCACATAAAACATGTAATATTAACTGGGAGTAAAACTTATCAACATGTAATAATATATTCGCTCATTGTGATGGCAGGAAAATTACCATTTCATGTGAAGGAAGGTGAACAAAATTGAGGAAAAAAATGAGATTATTAAATAATCGATTTAAGACAAATAATTAGAAGAATAATCTTCTTTTTCTTCTCAACTGGTCTTCAAGTTTGGATCAACGTCAAGTTGAAAGGATTAAAAGGATAGAAAAGGATTTAAAACTATAATTACTGGCAAGATTAAGATAATGTTATTCAAGCAAAAGATTATTCAAAACCATTAGTTTTTCATTCTTAAAATGATCATAATTCCACTCGACTCAATTTCATTTCTCAATGAATTGAAATAAAGATAAAATTTAATCAGAAAATTCGAGTCGAGTTTGAAATGAAAAACTTGATTCCTAAAGCAAAGTTCATTTACAAAATGTAAAATGACTTTTGGTTCCAAGTTGGACGAAATCTTTTTGTTTGTAAAAAAGATTAGATGAAATCTTGATTGAACTTGAATCAGTTGTGAATCTGAAAAAGCTTAATTTAGTTGTAGAACTATTTCATCTCGGAATTTCGGACTTTTCCTGAATAAACAGTCTCATGTCAAAAGTGCAATATAAATTGACTGTTTAACTTTTCCTTTTCCTGAGCAATTTTTTATCTCTTGCTTCTTGTAGTTGCTCATGTTTTTCACAGTTGCCTTTCAAATTGAAATGTTTGAAACAAACACATCATACAATATTAGTAGAGAAAAATTTGTCGACAAAAAGCAAGATAAGAATAACAATTGAAGAAGGAAAAGGAAAAGATGTCGATGATGATGATGATGATGAAAAATGATATTTCATTTCATACTCCTTTTACTGACCAGAAATGAAAAAAAGTACAACAATGACCTTTTGAGGAGAGAAAGAAAGTTTTCTTGCAACATTACATTTGCAATCTTCATTTGCTTCATCGCCTTTCCACTCTTTGATCTCTTCTTCATTTGAAATCTTCATTGGCAAGATTATCTTTTCTCATGACATGAAGCTCAACATGGATTGACAGACAAAGAAATGTTGAAACATTTTGAATACAATTTCATTATTTTTTGATTACCTTGATAAGAGCTGAGAATGAAAATTTGCTGAATTATGGGTCAACCTTTTTTGCAGTTTTTTCACATTTTCACGGTAATCTTGGTTTCTGCACTTATTCAGTTATTGTTATTGTCCAAGTTTGCTTGGTCAACCACAAATGTTTCATAATGTTTCAAATGTGTACAAAAAGTCTTTAGTTTTTGCTGGCTCATCACATTGAGAAATTCAGTGTCACGATAATTGCAACAAATTTGTTTTTCTTTTCATTCCTCAATTTATCTGATTCCTTCAGTGTTTTGGATGAAATAAAGATGAACAAATGATAAATGATGCGCAAGTAAATCAAAGAGTTTCAAGAAATTTGAGATTAAAGTCACAATATCAAGATGTAAACTCAGAGAATTGGAAAGATTGGACAAAAAATGAGTGAATCATGATAATGAAGTTTATTCAGTTGATGACATTTTTATAGAAGATAGATGGATGTAATGGTGATGATCATGATGAGTATGCAAATCAAGATGAGAGAAAAAAAAGGAAAAGATGGAAAAGAATAAGCAACTTGGTTAAACTGTTAACAGCAATTCTCAAGAGATAATTACTAAAAATGATAATTTCTTCATTATCGCCATTTTTATACTCGTCATGAGAAGGGTAAAAGTTGGTGTAAAGGCAAAGAAGCAGGTGAAGAGTAAAATTCATTGGACAGAGTCGAGTGCATTACTTCTAATTGATAAGCAAGTGTTTTCAATGATCAATCTTAATCAAAAAGCTGTCCATTACAATGAAATACTGATTTGCATGAAAGTAAATCAAATTATAATTCAATTGGAATAATCAGTGAAAAGTTGCATCGAAAATGGTTATCCACTGATTGAGTTTCCAATAAAAGTTGTCAACAAAAAAGACTCATCAAATTACCAAAAAAGAGCTAAAAAGTTCGACTTAACCCAAAAATATTCATCAACCGGATTCATCATTTTCATTCGATACATCGAATAGAAAAAAAGCCAAAAATGGAAAAATTTACAAATCGAAATTTCGTTTAAACTTTTCCAAAGCTTACAAAAGTCGAAGAAATTTTTTGAAACTCGAAGATTTTTTTTCTTATTTGGGTGAAAATTCGATTGTATTTCATTGCACAAATTTGCTGTCACCAAGAGGTGATTTTCGATGGTCAAGTCTCTTGAATTCACAAGCAAGTTGCTTTGATTAAACATTTGAGAATGGAAAAAATGGAAGGAAAAAAGTTCGATTTTTTGCGCTCTCATCTTCAATGAACCATTCAGACTCCTTATCGCAATGGCTTAAGCCTCTGAATGGTCAACTGTAAAGCAACAAAGCGTAACTTTGATTAACATGAACAATAAAAGAGTAAAGATTAAGACATAAAGAAGACAAAAGTCTTTCAATGAAGGAATTAGATGATGAAGAAGTATTGCAACCTTTTACTATCATCATAATCATTGATCAACTTTTCTTGTCAAATATCAACGAGCATGAAAAAATGCAGTTCTAATAATGATGGTTATGAATGGATAAAAAGGGAAAAAAAGAAAATATCGGAATATTGA